CAAATCCCTTTACACATGTGTGTTACATCCTTGCCAAAAAGTCTGTGATCAGTACAATAAATAAAAGTGAGAAAACAACCACTTTCTGCATTTTATTACATATTGCATTTGACCAGAATTGTTTTACCAAGGGCAGTATCGGATTTGATAGAGTCGGGATAGAATGAGAAACATCGGAAACGATTGATGAAGAGCAATAAATAGCAGAACAGCTGAAAGAAAAAAGAATGATAAAATGAACCGATATAATCCTCGGTTGTATTTTTCGAAGCTCTCGTTTAAAAGTGCCACGCCAGTTTTAATTGAAATATCGGAGAGGCCAGCCGGCTTAAGGAGATTATTGTTGGCCGATGTAAATTAATGTTAACGCCGGCACAGCTACCGGTGTGCTGGAATAAATATGATGAATCAGTCGGCTGTTTATCATGCTAATTTATTGCTCGCGCCATCTCGGCATCTGTAACTAATGGCGCGCGATGCACGCTGAAGCATCGGTAATTATATCTGAATGCGATTCCCTGCTACATCCAACGTCCCTTACGAAACAGTCAAGGAATAGTAATCACGGAATTTGACTCACTGAATGTTCGTGCAATTGCAAAACATGATTTTGCGACGTGCTTGCAGTATATAAAACTGTTGTATTAATCATTACACGACACGTAATGTGAATTAGTACATAAATTATTATATCAATGATTACATGAAACATTGTATTTAAAAAAGAAATAGTGATTGAAGTATACGATATTTGTGGATTTTTCTATTGAAACTCGATGACTTTTAGTGAAACATGTGGTCAGGTTAACGTAAGCTGAAATTCGTCGATTTCTCGGGGTCAGTCGAGTTGGTATCTGGAAGTTGGCTCGACCAAGTCGTTGCCTTTAGTATACCGAGTAAACTTGGTTAGCTAACATTCCTCCATCGGATCCTGTAGAACGCAATAAGAGAATCCGAGAAGTTTCAAATGATCGTGTTCGATTATTATCGGAAAGAAAGTTATCAGAAGAAAAGCACGGATCGCAAATTGGTTGATCCGTTTTGTTTCGAGGAGTAGACGTAGCGGGGATTGCACAAAGCCTTATCATCGCTTGCCTCGTTAATTACATCAAAGCGGTTCTACTTCGCCAACAGCATTCGGATCCCCCGCTTGCGCGTACAGGCACAGAGAGCCCGGCTCCTCTCGCGTTATCATAATATCGAGTAATTTAGTATTGGTGAGGCCGACTCGCACCTGCTGACTGACTGGAGCACTCGTCTAACCCTCTCTACGCCGACCTCGAGTTTCACACCGACTTCTCGGGTTAACCGACCGACACCTTGCTACCCGTCTCTAATCCTTCATCTCCCTTCGACTTCGGTCTACTAGGTAAACATTCTCGGCTAGATCCATAGAAGCTATATACTAGAGAGACGGAGAGAGAGAGAGGAGGCAGGGAAGGGTTTTGCGGAAACCATTCGGGCTTGATGACTTTAGGAGGTCTGTCTAGGAAAATTCCGGAGGTCAGTGAAACTCCGACTAACCAGTAAACTCAACGATGAATGCTATCGGGGGGGGGGGAGTCGGTTTGCTCGTTCATTTTCGAACCTATCGATTTTCGAACTAAGTAGAATTTTCCGGCGGGAACGTAATTTCCCTCGCATTAAACGACTGAATAACCGAGACCCAGTGGTCGGTTAATTACGAATAACTACTATAATTGTAAAACGCAATGAAAAGTTTTATTAACAGCAAAAAAACACGATTTCTTTGTTCATTGAATTGGAGTTATACGAAGAATATTAGTCTTTCGCGATAAATGTGATATTCGCCTTGAATATTTGAGCACGTTGAGGGGAGGGAAGGTGAATGGGTGGCATAGAGGCATGACTAGCCACGCCAGAAACCAGAACGTCCAGGATTCTGGATCAAGCCATGATTCCTGGCGCAACCACACGATCTCGTCCGTGGTCACACGTGGGGATCTACGCTAATGGATTGCCAGCCGATACGTCTCCCCCCTCCCGTCGCGTCGAAGCGAACGACGATAAGCGACAAGTATCGCGAAAATCCGAGTGCCTTCGACAGTTCGGCCGACCACGAAATTGCCGTCCGTCCGCTGCTCGACCCTCGTGATGATTTTCATCGAATTAACTTACGTCGCTTCTCTTTTCACTTAACCTCCCGTCTCATCGATCTTCCTTCGCTCATCCGCAATCTTATACGAGATACCCCATTTGAAATCATTTAAAATGAGACATCGTTGTGTTATTATAAGATGTACCTGAACTAGAGTTAATCGTACTTCAAACACTTTTATCAACAAGCTACAGTTTTGGAAATAATTATGAGTAATAAGAATGAGTCTGTGAGAAAGAGATTTAATCATCTCTTTTATAATCCCTATAAACGTTGGCTTGTAATCTCTCCGGTTAATTAGATCGTTAATTATACAGAACCAATCAGGCACTTAATTCGTTTTTGGTCACGATTTCGTTGACCTCCGCAATAGACAATTAATAATGAAATCATTTAATTAACCGCTCGACAGCTGGACTTGTTTGCATCTGGCTCGAAAATACTCCGCTAAAAGCATGGACATCGTTCGACGATCCCCGAGATTGTAAATCATTCTTTAACTGAATTATTTAAGGTGTGATATACCTATTTGTAATTTGTAATTCATGTAAACTGCTGAACTGTTGGCATACATATTATTAGGAATTTTCTATTCAACCTCGATCCTTGCACTGGTTCGGTCGTTAATTCGCGACCGAGGGGACTCGGATTAAGAACGCGCAGTTGTGCCTAAAACGAGCATTCGCGTTGGCTCGGCGAGCCGAAAAAAGGGAGGTCTATGGTGGAACGTGGGTAATCCACGGGGTGGCGAAAAAAGAGCAGGAAAGGGGTTACACGATCCGTGTATAAAGGCGGGATTATAATAAGCCCGGTACGCGTTACGAAATTGTTTCGTTCCGTATTAATAACGGGGCCCTTTCGCGCCACGCGACGCCTATTATTGCTGGGCGCCGGGGGTCGCAACCCTTTCGCAAGAGTTTGTTTTACTCAAGAGAGCTGCACGCGGCTTCATTTCTAGTCATAATAGTTGACCGGTTTTCATCTTCTTAATGCCTCTCGCTTAGCCGGGACGAGGAGCCTCTCAAAGGAAATAAACCGTCTTTGATACTCGCCAAGGCACTCATAATTGAATTTAACGGATATTGCCAAGGTATCTTCATCGCGTCGTTCTTTTGGATCTTGCTTTAAAAAATTAGTAATTCGCTAAATGGCTAAACGAGCGCGTTTTAAATCACCGACCTCTCAAAGCGAGAACAGGCTCTCCTTTGAACCTACTCTATCTACCAATCTACGTACATATGAATTATGAGAAAATCAATAATACTTTATTGATCGCTTGATCAACGTTAACTCTCATATTCTTTTATCAATCGTATTACTTAACAACACAATCTTGCATACATACATGCATTTCCGTATGACAAGTCATATCCACGTCACGTGTTATAAAACTGATAAACTGCGTAATTATTATTCTAGTAGACTATACGAACGTTGGTGGAACATAAAGAACGTGCAGAGATTCACATTCGTAAATGGCCGGGAATGTTGATTAGGTAAGCGGAACGTTAGCGGAAATCGGTATTCTCGAGTCGACAAAGACGCCGCCGCAGCAATTTACTTTCTGCAATAGTAGCACTGATGACGACGCTTGTCCATTGTTCGGCACGCGCTATTAGGCTCCTCTCGATTCTGTCTGCGCGGGAGTCATCCTTATCGAGGTAGAGGTTGAGGGGCCTCGTTTGAGGAGAACGCATTACCAGGCGCAATGAGGGAAACGCGGCAGCCAAGTTGGTCCCCGATACGGATTGCGGTGGCATTGATAGTAACGAGCCATTAGGAGACGCGTTAAACGTATCTCGGCGTGAATCCGCTGCTCGCTCGACTGAGAACCCGAACGCTTCCGCAAAGAATGGATTTTCCTTGCACGGTTTTGTATACCCGCCGTTCTTAATCTTTCATCGACGTCTTCCTCCATATCTTTCCCATGAAAAATATTTCCAAGGAATTGCATTTATCCGTATCATTAAACTGTACAAGCTTTCTAGTTTTTTTTTTTTTTCGTTTGATCTGTAGTCAGCGCGTTCGCGTTCCGTTTACGGCGTTGGTTGATCGATCACGACTTCCAGCATCTTTGTCTTCTGCATTATTCAGGATACACACGCTCCTAGTTGTACACGCTCGGCATCGTAATTGCCATTATCGAAGTTTACGCGAGACTGGCATACTTATCCCATGATCGTCGCTTCCGGTATTACTTGGAACAGTTTAAATCCATTCGCCGATGGATTCGCGTGAATCTCTCGATGAGGAGAGGGGGACAAAAATAGATTAATATCTGTTCCCACGAGGAAACTTGCATATGGCCGGTCGTTCGCCCGGTTGAAAACTCGCTTACGAATAGTAAGCGAGCAACAGGGTCAATCCCTGCTAGATTACTTTTCAAGTATCTCAATAGGACTAGTTTAGTCGACTGCTTACGGCTTGTTACCGCGGTTGAATGCGACAAAACGACACCCAGGCACAAAGCCCGCGCCGGGGCTGCGAGAGCATAAAAGAGCGTTCAGGCCCATTCACGGCCGTGTTTGCGCACATTACGTTTATTAAGTTGGTTAAGTAGACACGCACCGAAGACGGCTTTTTAACCCGTTTCGTTATCGCTGTGCGTCGCTTCCGGTTAGTCACAGTGGAACACCATTTTTTACGCGACATCCAATATGTTACATAGCCTGTGGAGCTTTTTTTGCAAAAGAATGCATTCGTGGTATCAGTTTAAAAAAAATGCATTACAGTGCGCAATCTTTCAATAGTTTCCATATTTATACAAATGACAATCACATTCTTTATGTCAATTTTTCTTTGCATATAATATTGTTAATTGCATTAATTCGTTTGACCCTTTACCATTAATCCAACTGATCCTGTTCCATTTCTGTTTCAGTGTAGTTCTGAGACATCGAGACAGAGGAACATAGACAGATAACACGGATCGCCGCAGTGCAATTCGCAGCATCGTGAGACAGGTATTTACAACCGTGTCCACCAGATATACCTCCATTCATAAGTCTTAGGACGTTACAGTAATCATTCAACAAATCCCATCAACTAAAATATAAAGCGACATAATAGTCATTAAATTATACCTTCATTCATTCATATCATTACAATGCCACATACGTTCTACTCTAAATCTTAAGACTTGTGAACGGTGTATATATATACCGCTCCAAGCATTCTTAGAGGAGAATTGAGTTTGGAAAAATGGTATAACAGCCACGATCAGGGGATACGTGACACGATAAAGTTCGCGTTATCTTAACGTTATTGTGTGTGATGGACGTGGTCGTTGGTTCAACTGCATCTAGCTAGTATTGTCCTACACGTGATAGAGCTGCAGGACAGTGAAATATTGATAAACAAAGATACACCGGTCTAATTGCAGACAAGCAATTACCCTGTGTCAAGATTTCGGAGCTCCGTAATTATCATTAGAGTTAGCTCGGTAAATATGTTAAGATAATTTCGAGAACCCTTTGATAAAACGAGATATGAATATCATATGGTGGGTCTGATTTAACATTAAATAATAGATGAAGACATGTTCTTCTTATATACATATAATACATATAATTGATAAAATATTTTGTGATAGATAAAGATTCTTGGCTATCAAACTCGTATAGAAGGATAGCATTAGGTAAAAAATGTTCACGTGATTTCCTTGAAGAAATGAAATTAGTACGAGCGACGGATCGAAATTTGAATTACTGAAACGGGCGTTCGACACTTCGGGATTGCTGAATGCACGATTTTTGCTCGCGGTACGAATCATTTGGATGGGATAATTATCCGGATAACGTCGTTATTGGTATTCGCGACAACGTTAATCCCGTTGCGAAAATGATTAACCGGCTTCCTCGAGCGAACAGATCCGGCCTGATGTGTAGAACGGTGGCGCAGATGGCGAAGTGGACCCGTTAAAGGATAATCTCGTTGATTTTGCAAGATAGTAGCCACGCGCAGACTGCCCGCCAGAAGGACTCTATTGGATCAGCGATACCCTTTGTCTCGTCGAGCTTTCAAGTGTATCCTCGGGACAAAGTACCAACTGTGCCACTGTTTTTAAATAGTTTAACCAAAGTAGCTTTCGTTCACTCCGATGATCGTCGTACGAGAAAGGGAGAGAGAGAGAGAAACAAACGCATCCGCGTCTACTCATTTTTAGGTTGACGAGAGGTACAACGAATAAATAGAAAATGATTAATTTAGACGTTTTATTGTCCATTAGTGTGTTTTACATTTAATACTGAAACCGCGACAGCTATCAACTATCTACCCGATGTATCTTTTGTGGAATTAATTACTTTCTGCACCGGAAACTGTCCAGCGTACGGGGTTGCGGTTTGCGGTTGGCCGAGGCGAAACCGCGTTAGATAAATCCGTTCGACGAACCTTTCGCGGCTGGTCTTCGCAACCCGGGGGTTCGCGGAATCAGGCGGGTAGGCGGGTGTATCTTTCCAGTTTGCGAGTAGACGGGGAATTCTGGCGTCGCGACGGATCGAAACTCGCCCGGCATTCGGCGCGAGCGTCTTGAATGGTGACAAACGGCATGCACCGCGAACACACAGCAGCCGCGCGTTGCGGCTGCGACTCGGAGGTATGAAGGGGCCCTGCAGCGCGTGAGCAATGCGGATGCACCGCGGAGCCCACCGGCGAACATACAGTTGACAGAAGCGTTTACGGAGACGAGATCCCTGCCTCTATTTCCTAGACTCCGTACGTACTTACACGTTCCTCTGCATATATTCTGCGATCCGGCTCGCAAGTTCTGCGACTGTTTCAAAAGTTTTATTTGTAAATGAAACAAACGCCACATTAATTCAAATGACGTTTGTTTAATAATTTCAATATGAAACTTCCATATTCTTGGCCAGAGATAACCAATGTTCAGTTTTCGCGTATATAAGGGTAGCGATTTTCATTTAACGGGATTGAAGCGTTTTTCAATGAATCAAGAGGGATGAAAAATCGTACCTGGAAGAGGAACGGGTTTGGTTTGGCGTAGGAATACAAATTGAAACCGGCGAATGGTAACTCGCGCGATATATGGGTTTATGGTTACCGCGAAGCCGTATATATTCCAGACGGTTACAAGGGACATTAAAACAGTGGATCGATTAAACGCGGCCAATTAAAACTTAATGGCGGCGAATTAAGCTCCATAAAAGCTCGGGAGGGCGAGATTTTTTACCGGGCCCAGCCGTTTCTTGCTTCTTTTTTGCTCAGTTCTCCGATTCTACCGCACTCGTGCGCCGCTCGATTCCAGTTTTTCATTTCGTTCTTCTCTGTCCTCTCATCTTCCTCTTTCCGTAACGAAAAATGTGAACTTCTACATTTCCAATTCTTTCAATGAAAATTTAAAAACATAAGAGCGATATAAGGGAAGGGTTTTTACGAAATGTTCAAAGCAACCGATGGGAATCTGATGGAGCTCAATTAACGTTGATTAAATTCAATCGAACACAAAGAATAGGATTTCTCACGCCATCGCTGTCCCTATAATTCCTGTTCTCATTATCCGCGCCCGAATGCCTGTGTGCGTATGCAAATAAAGATTCACGCCCATTGTTGACGCCCGATTAATTAGGAGACCCCAATCTAACGGTAACGAACCGTATCGAAGTAAAATGCGAGCGTCGACGATTAGGTACCTTGAATTTTGTTCGAAAGGGAGGAGCGGTTCGATTAAAGGCTAGCGACGAGAATATGTCGGTTTCAAAAGCTGTGAGCAAGTTTACCCTAGCAGAGAGTAGGTAAACGTCTTTCAATTTTCCTCGAACCAACCGTTCCGAAAGGGGCAACGAGTCAGAGGTGTGCGAATTAAAATTCCTATTCTTATTTTCTGCTTCTCGTTCGAGTGATCCGAACTTTCGTTATACTTTTGCCTATTCGCGCGCGTGTGGTATATCTCGCATAACCGGGGGTGCGCGCAGAAGTCACGCACACCGGCGTGCACAGCCCCGAGAGAGTCGACTTTGGACGAGAGAAGATAGGGCGCCTACGCACACATACAGACGGGAGACCACATAGCACAGAACAGCCCCGAAGCATAGTCTCAACTCGACTCGAGCGGCTGAATCGATCCGCGAGCCTTCCCCTGCGCTCTCTATCTCTTTCCCACGTTCGCTCTCGAAATCCCCAGAACCAACCAACCAACCAACCAACCAACCACCCACCCCGTGCGCGCTCTTCTCTGTCCCTTTTCACCAGTCGGTCCCACCAGTTCCTCGACTCTCCTTCCTCCTTTGCTGTTCGTTGCTCCTCCGCCTGTTCCTTTCTGCTCAACCTTGGGACCACCACCCCATCGAACAGCTTGGTCACGCGAACCTTTCAAAAATTCCTCGCCCTTCGCGCGAATTTCTTCCATATCTATCTTCCGACCATGTCGAACCGTGCTCTCGACCGTTATCAGTCGTGGGCTTCACCACGCATATCATTGCCACTTGTTTTATAAATTACTGATTCATTCAATTTTAATATGCGTTGTTACGTCTAGATGAAATCGAATAAGTCAGGTGTACAGCAAATACGATGATTTAAACAGCGCAATTTGCAATTCCGAATGAATATGAATGATTGTCATTAAACTTTTGAGAGGAACAAGTTGTTGGCCGCGAACACGATTTCTCGCGTCGAATATCGACTTGGCACGCTCGAGGCGGGGTTCGGCTGCGAGCTGTCTAACAGAATTTATAAGAACGCGAGCGAACCGACTACCGAAGAATGGATGAGGTATGCCTGCGAGGGATTTTTTATTAATCGCCAGACATCCAGAGAAACATCCTACCGGCACCTTCGGTATTTTCGGGAAAGAAATATCTACCGAAATGATGGCGATTCGTTCGCGTCGGAAGTTTCCGAGATCGAGGGGTCGGTAAGCGGGATTCGAATTTTCTTGAGTGGTTCCTTCATAATAAATAAGCTCGATGTACGCTATATAATGATATGTAAAAACGTACTTAGTATTCCTGAAATAGTTAAAGTTTTCGGCAAAATTTGGATAAAATAACGAGGATATACCAAGTTCCATTTAATAAAATATAGAAAACGATTGTCCTTTCTTCAGTTTTCAATCGTCATTGATCAAAAACATTTTGCAACAGACGGCATCGAATCTCTTTGCTCTTTCCATGCAATGCCAGCGGTCTATGCTAATTAACGTGCGAGTACTGATCGAAAACGCGTATACCGGTTTAAATCATAATGGGTTAAAAATGTGTATCTTAGCCTGGCGTCTAGGCGCATAGATCACGTACAAGGTACGCAGTGAATCTCCGAGCTCGAAATATGACCGATTCAATTACGCACGTGTCTGGGAGAGTGGAACCTCCCACCGATGTTATCCCTCTCTGCGCCGGTGATTTGTGTCCCCGTTCATCTTTGCGGGTGTCTGAGGCCGCCGCAGTCCGACGACGTGCGCGCGTTGCGTGAATGCACGCGAGGGCAGCATACACGCGCGAACCGTACATGCCCGCACAGATACCGGGCTAATGGAGAAATTCAGCCCGTAACGGAAACCGTTGCATCAATCTCCTTCTCTCTAGTTCTCCTCCCTAGTTCGCTACTTGTTCGTTTCACGTTTCTTCGTGTGATCAACAGAATCGAGAGTAGAGTTGTTTGATTAATATAAAATTTGATGTATTCGAGCCAAGTACGAATCTGCTGGAACTTAGACATTGAACTTTCCTACGTTTGAGCCGTGAATCGATTAGGATGTAGGACACGTATGCGGAGACAGATGTGAGATGGCTAATGGAGAAATTCAGCCCGCAACGGAAACTGTTATAGCCTTCCCCTCCCTCCATTTCTTAGGGTTGCTCCTCGATCTCCGACAGTAGTACTCGTCTTCTCTATTTAGGAGTTTATTTGATGCGGATCGGAGTCTCGAGTGGAAGTCGCGCGCAAGGGGATTCCATGAAACCGACCCAGGGTCAATTTGAAACTTTCTCGGCCCGCTCGAGGG